ATGTTGCAGGTGATCACCAGCATGAGAATGTTGGTGATGAGGCTTAGGCTTCAATTGGGCATGCTCTGATAGGATATGTGACACCGGGGCAAAGTTAGACTTAGTTTAGGATTTCATTATTGTTATTTTGTTTTGGAAAAACTCATGCTTCATTTTTCTATAAATTTGGCATTTGACCATGTTTTAAGTTTACGAATGTGAATTCCCTACTCTTATGTTAGTGGAACCATTGTCTTAATTCTAAAGATTTTATTTAACCCAAGAATATGTTTTTATAATTATTGTATATGTATGTTGGGGTAGAGAGTGTCAAATCGTCCCCTGCCTTCTCTGTGTTTCTCTTAGTTCCTCGAAGATTTCAAATTTTTAGGTTAGGGAAGCTTCGCATCTTTTTAATTTGGATCAATTTCATGTAGAATGAAGTGTTGAACGCATTTTTATTGAAATGCAACTCTGTGTGTATGGATTAATTTGAGGTTTTTAGTCAAAAAGGTTGGGTTTTTTTTTGTTTGAAAGAAAAAGAGATGATTGATTTGAATAAGTGGTTGCATGTAGCTGTTTTTGTGTTTTAGGTGTTGGTTATTGAAGGTATTTCTACATTCTTGAAGTTGCATGTGTTGGATTCTTCTGAGATTACAGGTTTTGGTGAAAATGGTAAAGAACATGTGTGTTCTGTCACCAATGGTTGAGCCCTTTAAAAGGGCTGAACCCTTTGGAGGCAACGTGCAAGGAGAGGATTCCCTGGAGGCAAAGGGCTGACCCGTTGGGAACGGCTGAGCGCTTTGGGGAAACAACTGATCCCTTTGGGGCCGCGAGCCACAGAAGAATTCCTGGAGGTGAAGCGATGAGCGCTTTGGAGGCGTTGAGCACTTTTTTTATTTCAGAATTTGACTTTGGGGTCTTCATAAAAGTTGTAGCCTTGGATTTTAGCTTTCCAATAGCGTTTGAATCACCCAAAAAGAAGGTCTAGAACTCCAGATATGGCTGTTTTAGTGAACAGGGGTCAAGCTGTCAGCATTAGTTATAGTTGTTGCGGTTTTTGTACGTTTTGACCAAGTAGACGGTGAAATTAGGACTTAATGTCTTCATAAGAGTTGTAGGAACTTCTTATCTTTCATATGAGATAAGAATGAGCATGATAGGAATACTATAACTCCCAATATGTTGTTTTATGTGAAGGTTGTCATTTCACAATAAGTGATTTGGTTAAGTTGAAAGTTGTTTTGGGTGCTTAGGTTGATTTATGTTGTTTATTTGTGTAAGTTGGGATGATATATGATTTTTAAACATGTTAGATGATCTGTATTATGTGTTGAAGTTGTTTATAAGGTTGCAAAGTTGCTAAGTTGCCTGATGAAGATGAGTTGAGTAGTTGTTGGCTTATGTTGTTTATATGTTGTGTATTTGATGAAATTAAGTTGTGTACATGTTGTTTATCGTTGGATTATTAATAATTCACGGTGTATAAGTTGAAGTAGTTTATTATTTTAAAGTTGTTGAGTTGATTTAAAGTTATCAAGATGACTGTTGTTGTAAAGCTAAATGAAGGATGTCTATAGTTGTGAATTCGAAAAGTTGACATTGTGATGACTATAGGTGCTCAATTTGTTTATTCAAGTTGATATTATGATGCCTATTGTTGTAAAGTAGTATAAAGATGTCTATTGTTGTAAAGTTGTATAAAGATGCCTATTATTTTAAAGTTGTAAAGTTGGGGACATATGGTGAAGATATATGTCCTATGTTGAGATACATAGTACTAAGGTGATGAGTTGAAAGTTGTTTTAAAGTTGAATTCCTTAGTATTGTGTGGGTGACATGGAAGTAGTCGATCCATGTCATGGGTGAATGACCAATTTGAGTAAGGTATCTAGTTAGAGATGTAGTCTTTGACTAGATACTGGAGGGTGCGTGGTACTTGGAGGGTAGTGGGTGGGCTAACTCCATATGCGGATTGGCGATGCAAGCCAAGGCCGTGGTAGGCCTATACCCAAACCCTTCTGCCCTGACAGTAGTATTGAACCTCTGAGTCTAAGTGGCACACCTAAGCAATCGCCTATTGTTGTCTATACCTGGTTCTCTTTGGAGTTCTTAACAATGCCCTATACCTGACTTGGTTGAGATAGGTCAAATGTTGGATTCGGTAAAGTTTATGCCACCTAGACTACTCAACCTCAGTTGTTGGAGATCTCCTAGTTGTATATGCGTGACGATGCATTAGTTGATGTTGCATGTCTTATTGCATTCAAATTGCATATAATGTTGTATGAATGAGTTGATAGTTGAGCAATTATGATAAAAACTATGTGGTTGTGTTGTGATGATGAGTTGTTGATCACTGGGACTAGATGAGAAATTTTCGAAGTTACTTATCTCATTGTGCGGATTGAGATAGTTGTGGTGCTCTAAGAGCCCAGTTTATTAAAAAACCCTCCTTGGGAAGTTGTCCCTTGGAGTGGATGATGCGTTGTTCTCCTCTAGGACTTAGTTGGCCCATGTGTGGGCAAGGTCAAGGTGCACGTGTATGAAGCGACCATGGTATAAGAGACAAGCCGAGCTATACTGATTACAAGTGGCCAATTTGAGTAAAGTATGACGTGTTGAAAATGTTGTTGCTATTAGATGATGATGTATATCTATTGTTGTATGTGTTGTGTTGCTTTAGGTTGCAAGTTGAAAGTTGAATATTATTGATATTTATTACATGTTGACGTTTTTTTTTATTTTTATAATTATTGTTGTGAGCTTACTCTAGCATGTTTTCCTGTTCAAAAGTGAGTACAAGAGAGGTAATTACAAATATATAGGGTAGAGGTAGCTTCTAGGAGAAGCTAACCTTAACCATGGTTCACTAGGAACCATGGTAAGGTAAGCTTAACTCCCACGGTTTAGCAAGCTTGTAGGAGAAGCTAACCTTGACCATGGTTCACTTAAGAACCATGGTAAGGT